AATAATAGTAAATTAAATTTTATTAAATAAAACTGGTACTATTAATGTACCATATTTATTAATTTTATTTAAATTTTTTTAGCTACTTATAAATATATCATGATTTAACATTTTTTAATTTTGCGTTGCATTACTTTTGATCACCACTGTATATATCTCGCTCGATACTCACCACCATTATGAATTTTTGCAATTGTTTGACTTGCTTTCATTTTAGGTGTATCATGTTGAAGAAGCTGTAAATAATGAATAACAGAGATATATTTTATTTTGTTGGACTTTAATATATTTATGGTATCAACTATCTGTTATATTTTTTGAAAAGCTGTTGTTTCCATTGTAATGATCCTTCTAAGAGATCATTTTCACTTTCATAGTCTGATTATTGATCATTCATTTCTTCATTATTTTATTTATGTTAAGAAAAAATTGCGTTATTTGATGGCAATCTTTGGCAACTATTCTATTTTCTCTTAATTTTCATTGTCTTGTACAATATGAATTCCAGTATATCGCCAAAATGAGCTTTGAGCAAGTTTTTCAGAAATAGTCTTCACGGCTTTCAAATCATATGCATTATCAATTATGGGTATATCTTCATCACTATTTAATGCATCTTCATTATTATTTGATGCATTATTATCACTATTTGATGCATCATCTTCACTATTTAACACAGGATTATTTTCTGTGTTTTCAAGTTTTCTAAGTTTTCAGCATTAATATGACGTACTAACGTATTTCTTTTAAGATGACCCATATTAAAAATTGTAATTAATATATAGATAAATAGATATTGATATGTAAAAATGTGAAGGATAAATTTACACTTAAAAATTAATTCAATTATTTAATTATTAATTTTTATTACGCGTGCGAACAAAGATACGCGTATAAAGATATATTTATGTGAACTTCTAATGCTAATGATTATCCTGATCACGTGCTTATCTTTCTATTGGTCAATTAAAACGCCAATTTTGGAGTCTACTTATAAAAATAGAACAATTTCAAACTGATATAAAAAACTTTCTAATTTGTTTACACTAAATATTTTTTATAGAAAATTTATCTAATTTTGAATATGAAATTTCAATTTGTATTGATCAAATTTTTGTGGATGGCTTTTAGTGTCCCACACTGTATGATACAATATCTTGACATTCAGTGAATATCCTGCCATTCAAAATTGTCTTATCAAAATAATCGAATGGTAGTATATTCGCTCAAATCGGGTCACTAAACGCAGCAATTCATTTTTTTGTCGATCATCAGAAATTAAAAAGAATCGGTCACTTTATGATCCAATAGCTTGACACCCAGTGATTATTTTCGAACCATTTGATTCGTCTGGTCGAGACGAATCAAATGGTTCGAAAATAATCACTGGGTGTCAAGCTATTGAATCACTTAATATCAAGATATATGTCATAAAGTGATTGATTATACATGTATTTTGATAAATGCGAGTTTTGGTGAACATCCAATGTCTGATATAGAAGTTTACCAACCTACAAAGACATGGATGATCAGTGTTCTTGGTGTTTGGTAAATTTCACACAAAGTATCGCCCGGTTCAAAAGATGGAAAATTTCAAGCAATATACATATTCATGTTTTTTCTAGTAATCATTTCTAAATTTTATATCATTTTAAAGTTAATCAATTGTAGTTTTCAAAAAAAATGATTCCTAACTGTGGACGACCTAAAATGCCAGAACTGTTTAATTATAAAATCATGAAAAAAATGTTCATGTACATGTGCATCATGTGGATCATTTTACTCTCATAGTAAAATGTGCCAGTTAAGGTACACTTATTGCAAGTTTTGTTATATCGAGTAGTCAAAAACGTCTTTTTTATAATTTAAAAAAAAGCGAAAAAAGAAAACTAACCCATAAATTATTTCTTTTTGACTCAAAATGTGTATTTATTGCAAGTTTTGTTATATCGAGTAGTCAAAAACGCCTTTTTTATAATTTAAAAAAGAGCGAAAAAAGAAAATTAACCCATAAATTATTTCTTTTTGACTCAAAATGTGTATCTAAAAACGGCGACATATGAGATCAATGATCCACGGATACTACACGTATAGCAAAATCCCGCAAAGAACAATTATTTGATTTTATTAGAATCGTATATCTTAACGTTGCGGTTTTGCAACAAGAACATTTTGCTAATTATAATGATTTCTTACACTATTAATAAATTATGAAGCACATTACCAGTCCGCACGGAAAGTAATGGCGATTAGTTTTTTGAATTCAGATGCAATTTTTAATTATGCAAAAAAAATTTATCTCTAGAATGTAGGACATCATACTTTGTAAAATCAACACGTGATACGTTTTTCCTTCTTGTCAAGTCAGTTTTGAATGCAATTTGACATGTTCAAAATCATAAGAATTAAATAATTTTTAATTTATAACTAATAAATAATAGTATTCCTAATATAATTTTTTAAGCTAAATATTTTTTTATTAATGGACAAAAACTCGTCGACTTATAAAATTTTGCGTAATCACGAGTCATGATCGACTCTCTGCCCAGGCCGTGATATGTATTGTAATTTGCAATGGCCGGAGATATATTTCGAAATAGAGATTCATAGAATATTGTGTATTTATTCACACCAGTCTTTTTTAAAAGGAGGCTAATTATATGATAAAAAATCTTTCCGCCACTATTTTTCGTGCGGACTGTAATTTAATGACATATTCAATTTTAATTAATATATTTAAAAAACTTTTATATATAGAAACTTTTAATTTGCATAATCATTGTAAATGCAATAATTTTATGAATATTAATAATAAATTTTACAACCAAGAATAAGAAATTATAATTTTTAATAAAACTTTTATTAAATTGTAAATTCCGGATGAATTTACTTGGAACACGAGATACAGTAGTTCATACACATGAAGAAATTCGGTGATGTTCAAACACAATCCAACTTACATATGCTCGACAAACGAAATTCCGAATGAACGACATCCCGACTGCAAAAAATCCCGAAAGCATGACACCCCGAATACACGATATCTTGATTTTAGCATCTCATGGATTTGGAATGCTATACTTTCATAATTCGTACATTCGGATGTCGTTCGTTCGGGATTTTCGTTTATCGGGCTTTTCGTACCGGATCCGAAAAAATTATAACGTATTAAGCTTATTTCATATAAAGTTTTTTCATTTTCATCTTCATTCTAATATAGCCAAATACGAATTCTACAGAAACACGCTGCATGGGTTCTACGAAAATTCTTTAATTGATTACTCAATGAAAAACTTATGTTTGCATATGACCGAAAATAGGAACCCCGCTAATTGACCGTAGATATCATCACAAAATCTCGTGACCGCAACATGTTTGGGGGCGCTTGTTCTTAGAACACTCCGGACGATCACTATTCCCCAAAATTCTCGAAAATAAGAAAACCATTTCGAAATGCCAGATGATTTCCAAAATAGGTTTCTTATTTTCGGGATCTCGCATTTTTTTCAAATGCGTCTCATTATAATTTCGGCAGAAATTCTATTCAATTTCAGAAAAAAGTTTATTAATATTAATTTCCTAAACTATTTTTCTGAAAATCAACGTTGTTAAATCTCCACGTTTTGTTAAAGAAACTATCTTGGGTCATTATTCTCGAGTGGGCTAAAACTAAAATAGGACTATACGCACATCACACAATATAGATCACTATGTTCAACACATAGTTGTACTAGCCAAATTAAAACTATGAAAATGAATTTCTTTGGTATAGAAAAATTTCATAATCAAATTTTTCAGGCTCTTTTATATCTAACATATATATATCTCGCTATCCTTTCTATCCTTTTCTTCAAATCAAGGAAGAAAAATAAAATTTTATAAGAGAAGAAACTATTTTAACAATATTTAATCATGAAAGCCATAAATTTAGCAACTCTTTTATTGTCGTTAACTTTTATTACAATCGACGCTGCACCCGCACCAAGATCTTTAGTCCACACAATTCCTTTGCAAAAGCACAGATTTTCTGATAAATATAGCGTGAAGCAAAAATTTGCTCTTGAAAAACAATATGTGATTTCAAAATTCTCTCAAGGCTCTAATGAACCAACTGAACCATTGACTGACATACAAAATGATATCGGTTATACTGGACCAATCGTAATCGGCGGTCAGGACTTCACAGTAATATTCGATACAGGTTCCTCAGACCTTTGGGTTCCAGCGGTAGGCTGTGATAGTGGAGCTTGTAAAGATGATCATCTATTTGATCCTTCCAAAAGTAAAACGTTCAAAAAGATTGGTAAAGAATTTGAAATTACATATGGAAGTGGCGCAGTTAGCGGCGTAACTGGAGCCGATGATTTGTCTATTAGTGATGCGAAAGTAACAGGTCAAATTTTTGGATTGGCAACATTTCTTACTGATAGTTTCACCGACGCAGGATTCGATGGGATTCTAGGAATGGGATTTGATTCATTAGAAGAGATCAAAACCAAAACTCCTGTCGAAAACTTGATTGCACAGAAAGTGATTACAGATCCTGTGTTTGGCTTCTTTTTGGGTAGAGAAGAAGATGGTACAGGCGATAAGAGTGAATTGACTTTAGGCGGTGTTGATGAAACAAAATTTAAGGGTGATCTTAAATTCAATACGGTTGTGGATACTCCTTCATATTGGCAAATTAAACTTGACGATATTAAATTTGGTGAAAAATCTCTTGGAGTCGGAGCGCCTAGTGTCATAATTGATACAGGCACTACTCTTGTTTTTGCTTCGACAGATGCATTCACAAAGGTTAATGAATTAATTCCAGGTGCAACTTATGACCCAGAGAATGATGTTTACACTATTCCTTGCGATACAAAATCTGTCGTCTCTTTTGTTTTTGGTGGCGTCTCGTATGATATTAATCCTAAAGATTTAGTATTTAAAGATGAGTCGAGTGGTATTTGTTATTCTGCAATATTTGATGGTGGTGATTTTTGGGTCGTCGGTGATACATTTTTGAAAAATGTTTACACTGCATTCGATTTGGGTAAAACAGCCGTTGGATTTGCGCCTCTAGCTTAGTTATCTTATTCTAATTATATTTTAACAACATACATATTAATTTAATAATAGTTTCACTAAAATTCTTAGATCTGTGAATTAGAACTAATTTCTATAATCTAATCAATTTTTTATTTTTAATAATATAATTATCGTAACCCACCAATATTTAGCACAAGAAAATGATCATTTTCGTTAGATAGCATTAATTTAAAAACGATAGATCAAATAATTTTACAGATGATAACTAAATAAATTTTAACATTAATGGTGCTGATTTCAATAAGTGATGCTCTGCTGATTGTTCCAATGATAATTTTAAAGAATAATGTTTATCCATTCTATTATCAGATAAAAATGAAATGCCGATACGATATAAAACAGTTAATCGAATACTACATTATAATGAATTATAATTACATGTATTTGTCATTCAAAAATCTGGATAATTTTAATATACATGTAGATGTACATGTACATGTAATTTCAAATCGGGCGATACTTTCTGTGGGTACTGAACATGTGTGAAGTGATTTTCTCAAAAAATCTGCTTTAGTGATACATAGCGATTAGGTCATGAGAACTACATGTGCATGTACAATGTGTTACGAGACATATTGTTGGATACATAATAATAACGAGAGTGTACATGTACGAACAAATTTATTGTTATAACGATAATGATAACCTTTTTTTCTAATATCAAAAACTCAAATCCATTAATATGAATGATATTGAAAGTAAATGTAGACAACTATTTGAGGCATTCCTAAATGAAAATGATCATTTTTTATATAAAATCAAGTATATTGATAATAGCATTGAACTGCTTAAATATCTAAGCTTCATACCAGAATTTATTAAATATACAGAGATAGAAACAGAACAAGAACAGGGAGAGAAAATAATCAAATACGAATGGGATGCCAACCAAATTCCCGTAATTATTGACGCCGCTGTGAAATTATTGAGAAATAATTATGCGTCTCATGAAATAATTAAAAATCGGCATATTCAACTCCGACAACAAATCACATGTAATAACTTCAATTCACCACCATATAAAAAAATATTAGACATTATACTTGATAGCACGGAAAAATTCTATCCGGGATTTAAATTTCTGTATGATTACGAATGGACAACTAACAACGAGTCAGAACAACAACAACAAACAAATAAGAGTGAAGAAATGCATGATATTGTTGTTTTGACTGATGGGTTTGGAATTTTTTTATTGGTAAAAATTCGAAATACGAGTAAATTTAAGCGTAATAATTCGGCAAGCCAATTGCTAAGGAATAAGAACTTATTTAAAGGGGAAAAAAGAAATGCTGACAAAGTTATTTGTGCGATTGCGGGAATTTTGAATATTGATGAGGATGGTAACAAGTTCACCTTTTTGGATGAAATCGATGAAATGATCGCATTGGCCGTTCAAAAGATCATTAATTCATCATCATCATCATCATCACACGATAGTGGAGAGAATTCTCGCAAGGACAATTTTAATAATCTTAAGAATGACGGTAATAATAAAAATTTCAATGAATTTCAAACAGCTATCCGAGTATTTCAAGAAGAAATTGATAGACTCAATCTTCAGGTAAATCAACAGAAGCAACATATATTATCAATTCAATCGATTCATAAGCAACAATTAGAAAAGATTTCTCTCAGTCACGCTAATGAAATTGAATTATTACAACAAACGCATCAAAATCTAATTCAACAACATCAAAATCTCGAAAAAAATCTTTCCGAAGAAATCAAAATTTCAAAATCACGTGAAATTCAATTACAACAAGAATTATTAACTGCACAAAAGCGTTCCTTATCAATCGATCAGGAAATAGAGGATAAATTAAGGATTAAAGAGAAAGAACTAAGAACGAAGTATAATGAGGAATTAGAGCATCAGAAATCGCAGAAAAAGATTTTACGAGATCGTGTAGAGCGAATGTCAAGGCGTGAATGGCAATTAGAGCAAAAAAATATCGAACTTCAACGAAGGATTCAGCTTCTTGAACTCGACAAGGAAAAATTTAGAGAGGAAAGAGAAGAGCTTTGGAGATTTAGAAAAGATAAAAGTAATGATAATGTTACAATTGCTGTATTGATTTTTCTGTTTCTAATTTCGTGGATTCTATCTTTCGTGATTTGGTCTTTTAAATAACACTTTCATTGTTGAAGTATATCTCATCTTTAAATGTTCTAAACTTCTTCCAAATCTGTCCATTGATTGATTCTTGAAGTGTTGGTGGCATAGAACTTAATTTATTCCGAATAGACTCTTTATATATAAAACAAATGATTCGAAAAAAATGAAACATAACAATTGAAATTTACTCGAGGTATAATGATCATAATAATACGTGCAGTATGTGATATATTAAAGACTATTTGACATTACAATATGAAATTTTGAGCTTTAAGAGTCATTCTCTTATTGTAATTTTTGAGACACATAATGTAATAAAAAAGTAAAAATTATCTAGACCTAATTTTTATGAAGGAAAAATTCAAACATATGTTTTGTTAGGTTAGTTGTGTTGCCCAGAAAATTCTAATGGTAAACAGTAAACATACCGATACAGAAATTAAAGATCTTGATAGAACATAAGAACGGTAACGGTAATTAAAGCTGATTACGAAAATGATTTCTACGAATAACAGTAATTTTTATCAAGTAATAATTAGGGCTTACAAGTGTTTTTTGTTCCATACGACGTAAAACCAATTTTAATGTTTGTAGTATATCGAGTGCAAGAAAAACTATTTATTTTATTCGCATACATGTATATTAGCACAGATGTTTTTATTCTATACACGCCTCTTACGTTTAATTTACGTATGGTAATATAAGCATCGCATCGTTAAGATTCAAAATAAAATTACATTGAATAAAATAAATACTGTATCGATGACTATAGTATATCGTTATTAATAAAATTATTAATGTTGATTCTTTTAATCCAAACTCATCTAAAATACAAAAATTATCAAACACAAAGGATTAATAGGTAATAGAAGAAGTTTATTAAAATGAAATAAAAAATTATCGACTACTGTTGCGTGGGGGAATTTATACATGCAGTGGTCAATTGCGGATCGTTTGTGTAGTAACGGTTCCCGTGTCGATATCTACGGATATCGTTGAATATAGCGAGTGTGGGAAACAAGGTGGTATTTTAGCTTGGTCAATACTACTGCGTGGTTTCTCTATTAATTCCGATTTTCAAATTTCAGCAACGCTTTTTCTAGATAAAAGCCTTAAACTTTTCAATATAAAAGCCTTAAACTTTACAATATGAAAATCCCTATACATTTTTCCGGATAAAGGGCCTAACCAATCAACGGCCTCAATTACGATTAGTGATTTGACCATAATCGGGTAACCGACCCGAACCGAAGAAATTCGGTTGAACCGGTTGAGAAAATTTTTTAATCGGTTCAACCGGTTCAACCGATTTCAACCGGTTAACCCAGTCTTTATTTATTTTAAATTCAGCACAGAATGATTTATGAATTTTGATAGTTATCTAATTAGCAAGATCATTATAGTATTAGTAACATTAATAATCAGGCATAAAAAGATTTCTATAATACTAATATTAATTATTAGATCCTTATCAGTTAAATAACTATTAGTTATTTCAATTACATTTTTGTAAAAACTTTTTATCAAGTCATTTATAATCTTCTCAAGTATATTTTTTTATTTAATTTTAATTTCTTCTTGATAAACTTGTACTTTATGAATTCTTTTAATACTTTGGATAATTTGAAAAAATATATCTCCAAAATTAATATCTCCTAGTTTTCAGTTGGAAGTTTCAACAGGAATCTAAATTTCTTTGATGATAATTTTAATATTATTATTATCTTGAATTTTTTGTTTTCTAGAAGTTATGATAATCTAATCATCATATTATTACATTAGAAAGATTTTCTTTTCTAAATATTACTTTTTAAATTCATTTTCAGAATCTTCTTTTGATTCATCTTTTCAGAACTTGATTCATCAAATATAGGATTTTCTCTATCATCATGAATAAATTTTATTAACATCTTTTCTTTCTAATTATTATATTCAAAAGTAAAAAGTTCTTTTCTGATATCAATATTAGCTCTGATTTTATTCAAAAAGTTTATTCAATAATTACTGAATATATTTTAGCTTTAATAATATCTACTTCAGTTGGAATTATAATTTCATCAATATTTAAAATAAATTATCAATAGCTTCAAGAGATTGTTTTGATACTTTATTTATATCAGATATAGATATATTTGAACTATGTTATATTTTTAATCCCATATTTTTAATAAAGTTATATATAGTGATATATTCAGAGATATCAGTATCAATAATTAAATCAATAATATTCTTTCTAACTTTGACTTCATATCAGATAGATATAGTTTTGAGTTTTTATTCAAGTATTACTCTTTTTCTTTTTGATTTAAATATTATAACTTAGCATATTTCTTTTGATAATTAAGTTTTTTAAGAAGATAAAATCTAAATAAGTTAGACAAATATTATATTTGCTTTATATTAAGCTAATTCTTCTAAAATATCATAGGATTTAGTTATGATAGCAAATATAAATAAAACAATTTTACTTTTCTTTTTGTGAATAGTCTTCTTATTAAGTTCTTTTTCAAGTATTTTAAATTATCTAGTATTATTCATATCCTGATCAAGAATAATTTCAGAAATATCTTCTTGTTCTTTTTCTTCAATAATATTTAATTTCTTATTATCTTCAATAACTTCTTTCTGGAATCAATCTATAGATTGAATTTTATAAGAAGTAGTTCTGGAATTTTTAATCTTTCTATCAGCAATCAAGTATTTATATATATTAAGTAGCAAATTTATATTATCTGATTTGATAGTTAATATCTAAATACTATCTATAAGAGCTTGTATCTAAGCTAGTAATATATTTTAATTATTATTTATATTTTAATTATTACTAGTATTTATCTAATTTAATAATATATTATTTTATTATTAATTATTATTATTTATTCTTTGATAATTATTTTCAAAGTTATTTTGATTATTTTTATATAATTATAGCTAGAAATAATTAGAACAGATATGATATGACTTATTATAATTATAATATATAAATACTGATTTAGAATTTTGATTATTAGATCTATATTCAGAGTTATTTTTATTATAATTTGATCTTTTACTAGTTTTAATATTTTCTATTTGCTAATTAAGATCTTGAAGTACTATCAAAATAGTATTTAATATTAAATTATTTTGAATCTGAAATTAATAATATCTATAAGTTGAAATATTAATATCAGCTTTTTTTATATTCTTAATAACTTATATTATATTTAGAAAAGTTCTATCAGCAGAAATCTGTATCTATTTTCTAATTTCTAACTTGATTTTTTTTTATAAGTTTGAATTTTATATTCTTCTAAATATCTATTATTAGGATCTACTTTATAAATTAGATTAATATATTCATCAATATTACTAAACTGTTACAAGATTTTAATTTCATCTTGCTATTGATTTATTTTTTCTTTAATCTAAAAATGAATAGCAAACTAATGACAGAAGCTATATAATTGGTCATTATTATCATTTTATATGATTAATCAAGTACTATTATTTTTATTTCTTTTATTATATTATAATATAATAGCATCTTTTAGATATTTACAGACAAGTTATATTATTACCGTAGTAACATAATTTCTTTAATTTCATACTTTTTCAAACTTGGAAAATGCGACCAATCAATTGATCTTTGGATAACAT